TCCCTTAGAATTATTTCATCCATACAGCCTTCTTTGTTTTTGTTTGTTTGTGTGCAACAATATCACCTCACAGATACGAGAAAATAATAATATTAAGGTTGTTGCCCTAAATATGATCATGTGGGTAAAAAGTTGTGAACTGAATTTTGAATAAAATAATTAAGTTCAATTATTGTTTATATAGTTGTCCTGCTAATACGAGCTTACCTCAGACAAACTTTATGTCGAACTAAATAAAGAAACAAAATATTTTTCTTTCTCTTTGTTTTGATTATCCAGGAGTCGGGACTCTTTGGCCAGAGCTTAAGGTTATTTCTTGAGCTCCAAGTCATCTAAGCTATTTCTTGAGGATAAAGGACATGTTTGAAACTTGTGACATTTCTAAAGTTTCATGAAATCCCCAAATTTTATGACTTTTTGTAAAGGTTTAAAAATCGTTATAAAGTACCAAAAGGTCCAGATAAATATCTGTTGTTTCAAAAGAAAAAAAAACTTAATATTATATTTTTTTAATACAACGAAATACTCCTAGGTTGGCGAAAAGATTTTTATGATGCTAAAAACACTCCTATATTACTCCCAATCACAAAAGGACTTTTCAAGGACTCTTAGACATGTACAAATCATTAATAAGAAATTAATATTTGATTCCGATCGAATAGTTTCCTCTCACCCACCATTATTAAAAAAGTGACAATTTATTAAAAAAAATTATCTTTTTTTGCATTTCTCCACTGATCCTCAAACATGTACAGAAGGAGAAAAAGAATTGGTCCTCCCAAGTATTTTCCATTGAAAAATAGTGTTAAAAAACATGCAAACAAACATGCTTAGTGAACTAATTAAAACCCAATTCCATGATTGTTCATTGACTTCATCATCGGTGGCGGATACAAAAATTTTGTTGAGGGGAGCTTCATACTATTCAAGGAAGTAATTCACGAATTTATAAATGTACGATTTTGAGGCTGATAATACCATTTTTGTAAATATGCTCTATCGATTTTCTTTTATTGTATCTCTCCATTTAGATTATAAAAGTGTTAATAAAAAGCTAAAAATAAATAAGAATGATAATAATTATATGTATAAAAGCAATTGATCAAACACGACAATTTTATATTATAGTCGAAGTTTTTACCAACTATTATATTTAAAATAACATCAAATAGTTACATTGATAATATATATGATGTAAAGTTAATAAAAAATGTACTTTAAACAATTAATCCTCAAAGACTTCTTTGGATTCTTCGAAATTAAAACTAAAAATTATATAAAATAAGAACAACTGAATATGAATATTAAAAAAAAATGATGATTTAAAGGGAAGGGAAAAAATATTTGTACAATAATTTATAGAAAAATATTAATATGTAACTACAATGTATAAATTAAAAATAAAAATAAGTTTGGAAACTGTGGGCAACAGTTAGAAATATGACAAATAACGTATAAATTAAAAAGAATTTTTAAAAGAGTAGAAGAGTAGTGTCTATCAGATTTAAAATTAGAGTTTAAATGTCTCACTTATTTATATATTCCCTTTATTTTCCTTTATTAAAAATTGACATATTTTTTTTAGAAAATTTGCAATCTTTTATCTCTTTATTTTCATTTTTTTAATTGTTTGATTTTAATTTTCTTATTTAAAAATAAAATTGACAAAAATTTTTCAAATATTAAACTCACAGAAAATTGAATAGAAAGATTTGGAAAAATCATAAATTACAATAAAAGGAAATAAAAATGCTTAAGGCTGAGTTCGAACACAGGCGCCAGGACTGGAGCATGAGGAAATCTAAATAAAAAAAACAAAAAAGAAATAAAAATGTGAGAAAAACGAACTTGGAGATTCGAACATGAACGCGCGATGGGGGCAGCCATACAGTTACCACTAAGCCAAAGAAGAATTTAACCATTTGACAGTGTAATCACGTTGATTGTAATGATCATTTATTTGATTATAAATCTTATTTTAGTCTCTAAACTTTATTATTGTCCACATTTATTGTCCACATTTCGACTCGTAAAGTAGACACATTTTTCACATTTTTCAGCACGTACGTTTTCCACCTTGTAGCTATTGAGAAAATTAGATCATTGGTGGAGTGGAGGGGGGAAATGATAGAAGTGCAAGATGAATTAGGACTGACTCCTCTTCATTACGCTGCATTTTATGGAAGGACTGAAGCAATAGAGCTATTTCTTGAAAAGAAAAGCTCTGCAATGTACATTTTAGATGCCAATGGAGAGTCTGCTCTACACATTGCTGCCTCTAGAGGCCATATCAATGCAGTGAAACAGATTTTAGACTCTTGTCCAGATTCCTGCTATCTGGTTGATAAGAAAGGTCGAACCGCGCTGCATGCTGCAGTCATGGGCGACCAAAGAAAAGCCATCAAATTCATCTTACTCGAGCCGAGGCTTGCTCCACTCATTAACAAGCCAGATGACAATGGAAACATACCCCTGCATCTCGCAGCGCTCTTCGAATTATACGATGTCGTTGAGATTCTTTCCAATAGTAGCCATGTGAATTTGAACTTAAAAAACAAGGAGTTCTTGACCGCCCTTGATGTTTACAATAAACACGATGAGGTACTTTAAGGATTTGTTTTGAACTATATTATTATAGTGTTAAAAGACAACGGTATCCTAAATACCCAAATATCTCTATAATAGCATGATATTGTCTGTTTTGAACCTTCACCGATTTACTTTTGGTTTTACCTAAAAGACCTCATATCAATGGAAATAATTGTCCTCATTTATATTCTTAACTGTTAGATATCTAATATATGAATTAGATTTACCCAATTCATTAGCTTAAGTTTTTGGGTTGAGTAATGATTTATTCATGCTTAATATGGTATCAGAGTAGCAATATATGAATTGAATTTACTCAATCCATTAACTTAAGTTTTTAGGTTGAGTGGTGGTTTATTCGTACTTAATATCAGCTAATGTAGAATTTTGTTTGCACACTGTGTAACCTCAACATATAGCTCATATATCTCAGGGTCTTTTTTCTTTTCTAGGAAGGACTAAGGGCCGCTGTAACTCGCTACCTCCTCGACAGCTCGACGGGAACAATGACAATGCAGCAGTTGGCTGAGAAAGAGATAAAAAAGATGAATCAAGAAGTGAAGATAGACATTATTCCTCGGAGTGGTTCTTCAGGGAGTAGTGAAAAAAGAGAGAGTTTATTCACAGACAAGAAAACTGCACTGGAAGTGAATCTACTGGTTGCAACACTAGTGGCCACAGTGACATTTGCAGCAGGATTCTCAATGCCTGGTGGAAACTTTCAGGACATTGGAAATGCAATTCTTACTACAAAAGCAGCTTTTCAAGTGTTTGTGATTTTCAACACAGTGGCATTTTGCAGCTCAGTTTTTGCAGTGCTTCTTCAGTTCCACACTTCACTTACAGACCACCACCAAAGAGTGAGGTACATGGGAATTGCTTCTTTCTTCACAACTGTTGCGATTCTCGCGATGGTCATTGCGTTTGCTGCAGGAACTCATGTGGTGCTTACGAGATCGATGAAATTTCGCTAACTCCTTGGATAATATGTGCTAGTTTTGCGTTTCTCTACTTTGCTCTTCCTTTCTGTGATCCTGGAGTTGAGGGATTCCCATTCCTTCGCGGGCCTCAGAAGTTTGTGCGTCGCGTAATAGTTAGATATATAAGATACAAGGATTAATAATGTTAAGGACAACGGTAGCCTCGTATCCGAACCAAGTATGTCTATAATAGTATGATTTGTTCGTTTTGGGCATAATCTTTCACGCCTCATCATAATGGAGATAATCGTCTTCTCTAGTTTGTAATCGTGGATCACTCTCTTCTCTCGTCAATGTCGGACTTTGTTTGCACTCCTTACAAACTAAACAATATATAATTATGCATTGGTTAAGCACAACACTTATGCAGTGGACTCATTTATGAATTCAACATTAAACCACTTCTAAATTATGGGTTTGTTATAATTAGAACGAATTTGATATATATGGGTTTTAGTCAAAGGTGATGGTGACAATTCTAAAATTACTTAAACTCATCTCCAAACTCACTCTTATGCTCTCAAATCAGATGAAACAATTAAACTCAGTTATTTACGGAATCATGCATAGTGGTAAGTCATCTTTAGCAAATGTCTTTATTAAAAAGTAAATAATCGGTAGTTAGAAAAATATATAATTTTCAACTTGTGATTTTAAAATAAAAAAATAGTTTAAACAATTATTGACTTAATAACTCCTTTCCCCAAACATCCTCTAAGTGGGTACTCAAAAAAAAAAAAAAAATTCCTCTGAGTGGATGAAGCTGAATCATTTTAAAATTTTGATTAAAATAAATAAGATAAAAGTAAGAGAAACTGCAGTACGTACCAAAGATCTTTGATGTATCTCAAAATATGTCACATGTTTTTTAAAATTTCCAAATATAACACAAATTTTCAGTTATATCAATGTATATCAGACACTCATATCAGTAGTATATAATGTATATCATATACATATTGTAAGTATATTAAAAACTCATTTCAATAGTATATCAGATGTATATCATATATACTACAGATGTATAAGTTGCTATTTTAAAATTGGACCTCCATTTTTCTTTTTAATAAAAAGTGTTATACTTGAAAAAACTAAATGTAGTTGCAATTTTGTTAAATTTAATAAATATTTTTGCCATTTTTACCATGGACTCTAAAAATAAAAACAATAGACCAAAACAGTGAATTTTTACTAGTATAAGGACCCAAACTAATATAAACTAATATTACATGTACTGAAATAAACCAAAATCAAAACTACATATAGCAAAATAAATTAAAATTGAAATGACAGGGAGAGGTTTCATTAAAGGATCCAACCAACTTGGTCCTTTTTTACCACCAACTCAACGCACTACTTTGAAAGTGTAATAGATATATATATTCAAATTGCCAATGTTCCAAAAGGCAGTTGATTTTTTACTAAGGGAAAACAAGCTAGGGGAAGCTCCTTCTTTCCATGGATCCAGATCTCTTACTCGCCGCCATAAATGGGGACTTGGATTTCCTTCAAACTTTTCATGATAAATCAGATCTTCACTCCCAGCTAACCCCATCTGAGGACACAGCTCTTCACGTCGCTACAGAGTTCAACCAGCCCGAGTTCGCAGCGGCCGCCGCGCACTGCTGTCCACCGCTGCTGTGGAAGGTCAACTCCTCAGGCGACACGGCCCTCCACATTGCAGCGAGAGACGAGCGTCTGGACCTGGTCATGCTCTTCATTGGCTGCGCGCGGAAGGTCGATGAAGCAACAGGAGAATCCAAGCACCTCAAATTACTGTTGAGAATGGTGAATCGGAATAAGGACACGGCCTTGCATTGTGCAGCGAGGAGTGGAAGTTGTGAATCTGTGAAGCTGCTGGCAGAAGCAGATACTGAAGTTTGTAGCTTTGTGAATAATGCTGATGAATCTCCCCTTTATCTTTGCGTTGCCTCTGGTTTCTATGGTATCCATCAATATATCATAGACTGCGCACCATCTTCAGCATTGTATAAAGGACCCAGAGGTCTCACAGCATTGCATCCAACACTCTTCTTCCAAACATATTGTAAGTAAGTTTAATTAACTAAATTTAGAGACTTAATTAGAAACATTTTAAAAGAATAGAATCTAAATAGATGTAAGTTTAAAGTACCTTGAGCGTTGTTTTGTTTTAGCACTTGAGAAGATTGAGGCTCTGGTGCGATGGAGGAGAGAAATGATAGGAAAACGAGACAATTTAGGAATGACCCCTCTTCACTATGCTGCCTTTTACGGGAGAATCGAAGCAATGAAGTTATTTCTTGAATATGATAGCTCTGCAATCTTGCTGCTTAACAAAAATGGGGACTCTGCTCTCCATATTGCTGCTTTTGAAGGCCATATCAATGTATTAGAAGAGCTCATAAAATGTCGTCCTGATTGCTACAATTTAATCAACAACAAGGGTCGAACACCCCTTCATTCTGCAGTCTTAGGCCGCCAAGTAGCAGCTGTGGAGTTTATACTCAAAACACCAACGCTTGAAAGGTTAACCAACAAGCAAGATAAAGATGGCAATACAGCTTTGCATTTGGCCGTCCTGCACAAGTTTTATGCCGCCATTCATATTATTACCGACAGTACAAAATTGTCTGCGCGAATTGTCAACAATAGATTCTTGACGCCTTTCGATGTTTCTGATGAACATGACGAGGTAAGCACTCTTTTTTTATTTTGTTGTTTTTCTTCTTTTTGAACTTAGAAGATTTGGGATTGATTAAAAGGATAAATATAGATAAATGAGTTACTCTCTGTATGGCTTAAATATATGAGCTAGTCCCTGATATTTATCTGTTTTTTAAAATTTAATTAGCCCTATTGTTAAGCCTGTTCATCAACTGGTCGGCATCAGTTTGGCACCGAAACTGACTATGTCGATTTCCAGAAATGGAAACCGACAATTTTTTATGCTGCCTTTTTCGGTTGTGTTTGTACACCCCTTACCTATTGTTACAAAGTTTCAATCTAGTCTCTTATGTTTTAGCATCTTTCGATTGTACCCTTCTCCGCAATAAACGTTAGAAAGTGGTTGATGATAAGTTTACCTAACACAATATAAAGTGAGTTGATAAATTTAAAGGAAAAATTACCTCACCTGAGGGGAAAATTTCTAATTCATCCTTCAATTTTCTTAGGGTGTTTGGCAAAATTTTCGACTTTTCTTCTATTAGATGAGCTAATTTCTTTTCTAAATTTCTTTCAAACTCATTTAGTATCATGTTGTACAAGTTTATCATCGGTCAATCTTAATATTTACTGATATATAAATGGTTAACTGGAAATTGTTAAAAAACATAAAGAAGGTTGAATTGAAACCTTATTAAACAATAAAACCAAATTGAAAATACACACAAATGTTAAGAAAATGTTTTTTGATCCTGCAGTAGTATGACTACTATGTCATTTATCGACTATTACATCATCCTCATTTAAGAATGATACGCGGTTATTTATAAAAAGATTCATTGTTGAGCAAAAGATGAGAGTACTAGAATCTTTGTTGGAAAGGAACCTTAGATCTTTTGATGATCATGCTAAATCTTGTTAGGTTCGTAAAGTGAATGCAAACAAAGTCACATATTGACTAGGAAGAGCATAATCGATGGTATATAGATGAAAACAATTATCTCAATTAGTATGAGACCTCTGAGACGAAACAAAAAACACATCAGATTTGACTCTTGTCCTATTTAGTCTGTTGTTTTGTTAATTTTTTTCCCCTTTATGAATATATTTCTTGCGAGAACTCATATTTCTTAAGAGAAAAGGAAAAAGAGTACTAGAAAATTACATATATTTAATATGTATTGAACAATATTTTTGTTAAACTTGTAGGAAGTATCAAGGGCAGCAGTAAGTTGTTTGGATCTCAAAATGGGTCTAATGACAATGCACCAATCTGCTAAAGCACAACTAGAAAAGATGAACAAAGAATTACGTGAAAATGGCAGGGAGGAGAAAAAGACATCATCAAGTTTCATCCTCAACAAAAAATCAGATGATCAAAATTCAGAACTACATGCTGCACTGGAAGTGATCCTACTGGTGGCAATGCTGGTGGCCACAGTGACCTTCGCGGCAGGATTCACAGTGCCTGGTGGGTTCATCAGCAGCAATGGAGAAGACCAAGGGCTCGCCATTCTCACCAAGAAACCAGCTTTCAAGGTGTTCATAGTTTTCAACACTTTGGCATTTTGCTGCTCAGTTTTTGCAGTGCTTTTCCAGTTACACAGCTCACTCATCGATTACCAACGTCGAGGATCTCAGTGCCAAGATCACCAACTTCGGGTGAGATACATAAAGATTACAGCATTTTTCACCACTGTTGCCATTCTTGCGTTGGTGTTGGCATTTTCCTCTGGCACATTCGTTGTGCTTACAGAATCTACTGGACTCTGTGCTTACGTTATGTGTGCTTGCTGCTTTGTGGTTCTCTACTTTGGCTTAGTTTTTTTGAGGAGAAAACGTTAATTCCATGCATAATATTGGGAATGCTACCGACCGAAGTCTCGTATTGTTAGCTAAATAAAGAGAAGATCATGAGTATATGGATCAAAAATAGTTTGGTACCTCGTCATGTTGGCTATGGAGTAAATTTTATGTTTTTTATCGTACTCGTGTAGCTAGTATATGTTTTCATTTATATGATAGTTTACCAATTATTTATGAAAACTAAAATCTTGGGCATAACGACTTTGTTTTGTTTAATCCCAAATGGCCAAATAATTATCTTCATCTATGTGCCATACATCACTCTTTTCCCTAACTAAATCATGTGAAATTGTGTTTGCACAATTTACGAACCCAACAAATATGACATTACAATTTTGAAGATGTAGATTCAGAAAATACTTAATCCAGATGGGGAAAGGATCTATCTTGTCCTGATAATTAATAAATTTTTAACGAGAAATACAAAAACATAGAACTTTTTTTAAAAAATGAGGAGAATTTTTCAAGGTGTGGTCCAACATACGTTCTGACTCGTCAAAACCTAAGTATTTTCTTTTTATTGATTAACTATGTATTTTAAATATTGTAAAATTGTATAACAATATATAATGTTATACTCAAAGTCTCAAACTCATGTACTAATATCATTGGAAATTTTGAGTGGGACAGACTGTGACGAAATGAAATTTGAAATTGTTAGGGTTATTAAATTAAAATATCATCCCGTTGGTACGAAAAGAAATTAGGTGGGCCATGGATAAGATTCTAAATCTTGAAGACAGAAATAATTAAATTTTGCTGTTAAAATGAAATAGCAGTAATTGGTATATATTTTCAACAAATAGAGTTCGAATCTCATCCCTACGTATTATTTTTTTTTAAAAAAAAATTAGATTTTACCTTTTGTTTTTCTATTTTAGGATTGGAGAACAAGTTTTAAATGTCACAGGTTAATATTTTTGAAAATGTTATAAGAATAAAAATGATAAAAAAATTTGAATTAATAAATAAATATTTCAATCTTTTTAAATAAATTTAAAATTATTAATATTAATATTATGATGTTTCTCGTTCTTCTTTTCAAAATATTAATAAAAATATTATTTTATCATTGAGTTACAAAATATATGATGAATATTAAAGAATAAATATAATAAAAACACATTTGAATATAAAAAAAAGTTATCCAACACAATTATGTTTTTTTTATGAAAAAAAATGAGAAACAAAAAAAAAAAGAAAAAAATATTAGTGCATTTTTCCCCTTATTTTTTTTAGTTTTTTTAAATTTTGATTAAGTGTAACTAAACAAAAATAAATAATTAATTTATTACTCCATAATTCCATTTCTTTTTTCTTCTTGACACTTTAAATTAATCTCTCACCCCACATATGTTTTTTTTCTCAACTTTTCTCTGGTAAAAATCTCTCCAAGTTTCTTTTCTCTCTAATATGTATAGCTTCTTTTTCCCTCCCAACTAATTTCTCTCGAAATCTTTTTGTATTCTTAGAATTTAGTAAATTAATTTTATAACCCTAAGTGTAATTTTTTTTTCAAAAAGCAAGTTTCTAATTCTAATCTCTCAACTTTCACTTCTTTTCTCCACCCAACCCTTTCTCTCCAACATTTTCTCGCTTTCTCTTATATATGGTTTGCTCTCTAAAATTTCGTCAATTTTCTTCGTTTATCTTAATAGAACTCTACTTTGCATCTTAATCATAAACTTAACAAAATTGTCCAAAAACTAATCATAAATCACTCAAGTTTCAAAACACAATCAAAATAGATAAGAAATTGGGCTTTTTTTTCTTTTCTAGGAAGGACACTACCTCCTCGATAGTGTTGGATTTGTAAGGAGTGCAAAATCTCATATTGGCTAAGGAAGTGAATGATCATAAATATATAAGAGAGGACAATTATCTCCATTGGTATGATAATTTTTGGGTAGAACCAAAAGCAAAATCGTGAGGGCTATGTCCACTAGCACTTTGTTCAAGGGGAGGATTGACCCTCACTAAACCCACGAAGCTCGACGGGAATAATGACAATGCAGCAATTGGCTGAGAAAGAGATAAGAAAGATAAMTAGAGAAGTGAAGATAGACATTCCTTGGAGTGTGACGTTTGCAGCAGGATTAATTCTCAATGCCTGGTGGAAACTTTCAAGACATTGGAAATGCAATTCTTACCAAGGAAGCAGCTTTTCAAAATGTTTGTGATTTTCAACACAGTGGCATTTTGCAGCTCAGTTTTTGCAGTGCTTCTTCAGTTCCACACTTCACTTACAGACCACCACCAAAGAGTGAGGTACATGGGAATTACTTTCTTTCTTCACGTACAACTGTTGCTATTCTTGCGATGGTCGTCACGTTTTCTGCAGGAACTCATGTGGTGTTTACGAGATCGATGAGATTCTCGCTAACTCCTTGGGTTATATGTGCTAGTTTTGTATTTCTTTACTTTGCTCTCCCTTTCTGCATGATCCTGGGGTTAAGGGATTCCCATTCCTTCGTGGGTCTTAGAAGTTTGTGCGTAGATATATAAGATATGAGGATTAATATATAATTATGCATTGGTTAAGTACAACACTAAGGCAGTGGACTCATTTATGAAAAATAGTATGGGTTGAATGCAACAGTTCTAAATCATGGGTTGCTATAATTAGAATGGATTTGATATATATGGCTTTTAGTCAAAAGTGGGCTATAATTGGGTTTTTAAGAGAAGAATCGGTGTACTTTGTTCGAGGGGGATGATTGTTGAGTTTGTAAGAGGTTGTAAATGAAGTCTCATGTTACATAGGGAAGATGATATATAGTAATATAGATGAGGACAATTATTTTTATTGGTACAAACTTTTTTTGGTGAAATCAAAAGTAAAGTCATGAGGTTCGTGAAAACTAAGAATCAGTTCGATAATTATTTTATTTTTAGTTTTCTATTTTTTAAAAATTAAGTTTATAAAACTATTTTTCAATCACATGTTTTTTTTTCTCGGTACTTTTGAAAACGTTTTAAAATAATAAAATAAAACAAGTAGTTAAAAAGAAACTTGTTTTTTATTTGAATTTTGGCTAAAAATTTTGTTATGCAACGGATTTAAGTATAAAAGTGGGAGTGGGACATACTGAAATGAAATTTAAAGTTGCTAGAGTTATTAAAATTAAGCTTAAAAAACACTTATCCTTCTACTTTCACTTAAATAATAACAATTTTATTAAAATCAAGTGTCAAATCTTATCATATAACAATTTAATATTTCTATTTGATGAAACTATTTAGTTCCTCTTTAATTTATTTTATATATATATATATATAAGAAATTTAATAAAAAAAAATTCACTATAAGAATCAAATCGTTACAAACTTTAAATTATAATTATAATTAGAATTAAATTATTATATATTAAAGTTCAAGAATTAAATTGTTATAATTTAGAAATACATAAACTAAATCGCTCCGGACTAAATTTAATGAATTAAATTGCCAAAATTGTTGTTTAACTTCAAATTAAAATATCATCCAGTTGGTACGAAAAGGAATTTTTCATAGATAAAAAAAGTAGGTCTTAATCTTCTTTTCAAATGGTTCTGGAAAATATTATTGTTTTTGTTTGAGTGGACCATGGATAAGATTCTAAATCTTGCAGGCCTGATTATGTTTTGCCTTTGCTTTTATTTTTTAGTATTTAGTTTTTAAAATAAAATCAAACAAACTGAGTCTTCAATTTTCAAAATTCAAAACAGTAAGTTGGGGGTACAACGTTTTAATGTCAAAAGTTCTCCAGAAATATCAATAAAATGTTAATGTAATATTTTTTAGAATTATATAAAAGTAAAAAATGGTAAAAAGTATTTAAATTAATAAATAAATAGTTCACTATTTTTTAAATGAGTAAAATAATTAATATTAATATTATAACTAGCTATATTAGAGATATTTTGATGATACTTTTCATATTTTTAATTTTTTTTCAATGTTATGAAATGTTGATGTCGAGCTCATGGACATAAACATGTCGACATGTGGATGAAAATTTAATACCCTTAGCGTAACTCTCTGGTCAATGTCATATGTGTGCCTATCATGACGATTCCAATGACTAGTTCGAGTTCAGTTTCGAGAGAACTACTTGTCACGTGTCAAGAGGTCATTAGCCAAAAAAACTGTGATAAGATCTCAAAAGAAAGAAGAGTATTCGAATCCGGGTCTCCTATGATACTTGACACGAAGCCATGCGTCCTAAAAGAGATTGGAAGAGAAATCTGATCTCCTTTAGTTGCCCAACTACTCTTTCTTCCTTCGACTTCTTTAGTTACCGTTAGTCATTAATGTGGGTTGGCTTGAATTACTTAGTGTTGCGCGCCTAGAAGAGGGTAGCGCGCTTTGGGACGATGCAGAGGAGCTATTATCGTCCAACTCCTTAACCTAATGCGGCACTAGATTCGGACCGTAGAGAATCGTAGCATGGGGGGACGTCTAATCCTTTTGCTGTCGGTTCGCTTGCCTTCCTGACCACGGATAAGCTACAGGGCTTTGGATAAAACTTAAGTTAGAAATACTTGTCAATATTAAAAAATTTACAGCTGTTTGTTTTATTTTATTTTCTTTATGCAATCATTTTTATAAGGGTCGTATACCTACTCATCGGTAAGCACCTACATTTTATTTTTAGCTTCCAATTCTTTTAAAACTCAAGTCTTTGGTCATTGTGTTCTACTTCTCGTATTTTTTAAAGAAACATTTCCAAAATTGTACTAAAATCAAATTTATTGCTTCTCGTTTCGTGTTTTTATTTATGTTTCTAGTTTTTCTTTTCAAAATATTATTTTATTATTCTTGACTTGCAAAATGTACCATAAATATTAAAGAATAAATATAACAAAACAAATTTGAATAATTAATTTGAAAAATCAGTTTTCAAACAAAACTTTACTTTTTTTTAATTAAAAATTTTAGATAACGAGAAAAAAGAAAAAACTAAAAATAATTAGGAAATATGTTTATTTTCATTTTTTTAATGAAAAAAACAACAAAATAAGAAGTGGTTTATATCCCACGCAATTATGTTTTTCTTTATTAAAATAAGAGAAAAAAAACAAGAACAGGGGAAAAAAATCATAAGGTTACTAAATTCACCTTAATTTTTAGTTTTTAAATTTTGATTAAGTGTAACTAAACAAAAATAATTAAGTTCATTATTCCATAATTTCATTTCTTTTTTCTTCTTCCCACTTTAAATTTAGATTGAAATATACTTTTGGTTTCTAAGTTTGAGTTTATAGAGTTATTTGGTCCCTCAATTTCAAAAGGTGACAGCTTTGAAAAATAATTCTAAAACGTTCCTAAATGTCAAACTTTCGTCAGTGTCATTAACGAAATGATGATATGACATTTGTGAGTTGGATGTTTATTAATTTTTAAATATTTTCCCTCCTCTGTTCCTCTCTTACCTCTTTTCTCCCCATCCTCTCGTTTTCCTCCCACATTCCTCAACTCCAAATCCCTTCTTTAGTTATTGTTTACCTATTCAATTGCTCGGCTCCCCCACCTTTAGAACTACTTTGTAAAGGTTATAAAACAAGAAATAAAAAACAAGAAACACGCAAAAAAAATCATAAGATTACTAAATTGGCCTTAATTTTTAGTTTTTTAAATTTTGATTAAGTGCAACTAAACAAAAATAATTGTTTATTATTCCATAATTCATTTCTTTTCTCTTCTTCACACTTTAAATTTAAGGTAAAACACATTTTTGATTCCTGAATTTGAATCCGAGGATCGAAGTTCCAAAAATCCCATTGTTTTGGCACCCACCATGGATCTTCCCCTCCATGGTTTTTCTGTGCCTTTCTTTTCCTTACTACTAGTCGATGGCGACGGTTAGATATCCAATTCATGTTAAGTATGAATAAACACCACTCAACTCAAAAGCTTAAGTTGATGAGTTGGATAAATTTAGTTCATGTATTAAGTATCTAACAACGACTTCAAGTTCGTTCTTCGTGGAATTTCTTCTTCCCTCCTCTAGTTTGTCGATATTCCTAGTTTGTTCCAAAGGGAGAGGGATTTAGAATGAGGAATATTAGAGGAGGAGGAGGGAAGAGAGAGAAAATTTAGAATGAGGAATATTAGAGAAGGAGGAGGGAAGAGAGAGAAAAAAGAGGGGCGAGATGGGGGAATGAAAAAAAAATTTAAAAATAATATAAAATTGATATATATTGAACTGTCACCATTTATTGAAATTTAACTTAAAACCTTTTAGAACTATTTTCTAATAATCATGACTAAATTGTCACTTTTTAAATTTGTTCAAGGACTAAATAGACACATAAAACTCAAATTTAAAATCAAAATATATTTTATCTTTAAATTTATCTTTCTCATTCCACATATCTCTCTCAACTTTTGTTTTGTAAAATTTCTCTCTCATATTTTCTCTCTAACGTAGAACCTTCTTTTTCCCTCTCCCCAACCAATGTTCTCTCTAAATTTTTTTATACTCCCAGAATTTAGTAAATTTTATAAACCATAAATGTAACTAGAAGCTCTTCCACTTATTCTACCCTTTCTCTCTAACATTTTCTCTCTTCCACACTTACTCTAAATTCTGTCAATTTCTAATTTTCTTTATTTCTCTCAATGCAACTCTATTTTCCCATATGGGAATCATAAAGTTAACAAAATTCTCCAAAAACAAATTATCATAAATCACTCATGTTAAAAAAACCCCAATAATCTAACCAGAAAAACAAGAAAGGCAACAACAAAATTAAGCATGTAAAAGAATCTAAAGCTAATACTAGAGCACAATTGAAGAACAAGATGTAGTATATTAATTTCCATTCTCCGAGGCTCACAATCTTATCCATAAGGCTACTTGTTAATATTCTAAAAAGTTTGTGAAAGCAGCCGTCCCACGAGACAATTATATACCTAAAAAATTTCTCCTCATACCAACTACACAATATTATATTCTAACAACCCAACAACCTAGAAAAATTCATTTATCATTACAGTGTGTGTTGAGATTCATTTACCAGTCCTCTTCCATGGATCCAAATCTGTACCTCGCGGCCATGAAGGGGGACTTGGATTTCCTTCGAACTTTTCAAGAGACATCAAATAATAATCTTGAGTCCCAACTAACCCCATCTCAAGACACAGTTCTTCACGTCGCCACAGAATTCCACCAGGCCGAGTTTGCAACTGCCGCCTCCAACGACTGTCCACCGCTGCTGTGGCAGGTCAACTCCTCGGGCGACACAGCCCTCCATATCGCAGCGAGAGAACTGCGTGATGACCTGGTCACGCACTTCATTGCCTGCGCACGGAAGGCCGACGAGGGAACGGGAGAGTCCAAGCACCTCGAAGAGCTGGTGAGAAGAGTGAATTTGAAGAAAGACACGGCCTTGCACTGTGCTGCGAGGAGTGGATGTTTTAAATCTGTGAGGCGGCTGGCGAAAGCAGATCCTGAAGTTTGTAGCTTTGTGAATAGTGCTGATGAATCTCCCATTTATGTTGGCGTTGCCTCTCGATTTTGGGGTATCCATCGGCATATTATAAAATACGCATCATCCTCAGCACTCTACAAGGGACCCAGAGGCCTCACAGCATTGCATCAAATACTGACGTTCAACATATGTCGTAAGAAAATTTAATTGAATTTACTCTTAAAGTTACAGCATGTGATTCAACTTTTTTGTTTTATCACGTCTAGATGGACTGGGCAGTTGACCGCCGTTTTACTTTTAATTTCACCCAAAAGATTTCATATACCGATGGAGATAATTTTGTCCCTCGTATATATATTCATGATCTTCTTCTTTCCTAACTAACGTGAGACTTTAATTGCAAACTTCCTCRCAAATCCAATGTTATGATTGAGTTTATTTCTACTGTAAAAGAAAGTTTTTAACATTCTTGGCTTCTAAATTTTATGTTTAATAGGATATATGTTAACTTTGAATTACTTTGTTCACAGTGATCTATGTTAGATTTGTAGGGTACAAATAAAGTCTCACATTAGTTAGAGGAGAACATGATCTATGGTATATAGATGAAAACAATTATCTCCATTGATGTCATATAATTATGAAGATACGTGGAGTATTTGAGGTACCATTGTCCTTAACAAATGGTATCAAAGCCATGATCTAAAACTAGACGTATCGGTGAATCCAAAAGATTAGTCAGGGTTGTTAAGGACAACGGTATCCAAGAACTCCTAACCTTAGTATCACCGCTAATACGATTATGTTGTCCGTTTTGGACATAGTCCTCAAGATTATAGAGATAATTGCCCTCATCTATATATCATGGATCATTCCTTTGATTGGTGTAATCTGTGGGTGTGCTTTATCAAGGTGTGTTGGAAGCCTGGGAGAAGAGCACGTTCTTGTTCAAGTTTGAGAGTATATATAGACGATTGACTACTCGAGGGTTGTTTTTAAAGGTCTAAAACTTAATAAACACAAAATTGAAAGTTTTGGAACTTAATTAGATACTACCTTTTTTAAAGTTTTTGTTGTTTGTTTGRTTTTGTTTTGTCTCAGCACTAGAAAAGATTGAGATTCTGGTGAAATGGAGGCCAGAAATGATAAGAGAAGGTGACGATTTAGGAATGACCCCTCTTCACTATGCTGCTCTTCATGGGAAAATTGATGCAATTAAGTTGTTTMTTCAATACGATAGCTCTGCGATCTACCTGTTGACCAATAATGGGGAGTCTGCTCTCCATATTGCTGCTTTTCAAGGCTATACCAACGCATTAAAAGAGCTCATAAATTGTCGTCCTGATTGCTACAATTTAATCGACAACAAGGGTCGAACACCCCTTCATGCTGCAGTTTTAGGCAATCGACTATATTCTGTAGAGTTCATATTGAAAACACCAACGCTTGAAAGGTTAATAAACAAGCAAGATTGTGATGGCAACACAGCTTTGCATTTGGCTGCCCTCCACAAGTTTTATGATGCCATTGAAGTTATTACCAACCATAAAATAGCGACTTGGCAAATTGCCAACAATGAATTCTTGACGCCTTTCGATGTTTATAAAAAACATGACGAGGTAACTTTTCTTCTTTTCTCTTCTCTGGTTGTTTTGTTACGTTGTTTTTCCAATCATAAAAAAGAGAAATATGGATAAACATATATGACTTAGTCCCTACATATTGAATTGGGGGTGTGATTTTGTTGAATAAATCAGTGCACCTCGGTTACCACTTGTAGAAAAAATTAGTACAAAAAGAAAGAGACAATCATTGTCTTAGGGAAAAAAAAATTCAATCCTACAAACACTACTGTTATTCATTGTCTTTCACATCAGCATCATATATAATAACGATATGAAGTCTAGTGCTATTAAAAAGTTATTTTTTAAAAGAAATTTATAGAAAGGATTCATATTTTTGTTAAACTTGTAGGAAGGATTAAGGGCGGCAGTAGCTTGTTACAATCTAAAGAATTGCAAGGGTCCAATGGTAATGCACCAATATGCTAACACACAACTAGAAAAGATGAACAAAGAAGCTGAAAATGCGACAGAGGAGGAGACATCAACAAACAACAACAAAGACAGCAAAAAATCAGATAAAAGTTCAGATTTTGGACTAGAAACTGCATTGGAAGTGAACCTATTGGTGGCAATGCTGGTGGCCACAGTAACCTTCGCTGCTGGATTCACAGTGCCGGGTGGGTTTATCAGCAGCGGAGAACAGGWAGGGCTCGCCATTCTCACCAAGAAACCATCTTTCGTGGTGTTTACCGTTTCCAACAGTTTTGCATTTTGCTGCTCGGTTTTTGCAGTGCTTCTCCAGTTCCACACCACGATCACCCGTCACGAAGCTCGTGTTCGGTACAAGGGGGTTGCAGCATCTTCCACCACTGCTGCCATTCTTGCGATGGTGTTGGCATTTTGCTCCGGCAGTTACGTTGTGCTCACAAAATCAACCCCACTCTCTGTCACTCCTTACATTATGACTGCTTTCTTTATGGTTTTATACATTGCCCTTCCCGTGGCTGACCCTGGGGTTGATGGCATTCGATCCCTTGGTGGGGTTCAAAGATTCATACGTCGTATTGTAATTCGACATGTAAGATGCTAAGCAATGTCCAACATATGTCTTTGTTGAATGATACTCTTAACAAAATTCGTCGTGTGTTCTCTCAAGATGGACTCACCAATCTTGGCACACCTGTGGACAAGATGATGGCACGAGATTGTTGTACTTTGTTGGATATTATTTCACATGTGCGAAGGCCCAACACTTTTAGACCCAAATGGGCCATTATGTTTAGGGATTTTTTAATATATATATATATTTAAAACTACATGTGCAGCCGCATAAGATAACACAAGGGGAGGGAGAGAAAAGTACACGCAGATCGAGGAGAGAAAACAGAAAAGAAAAGGAAAAAGAAATTCATTCGTATCGTGACACGAGGGTCTTCAATCTGGACGGTGGAGATTTCTTTTGGAGTTGCCTATAGTCAGATACAGTGGGTAGTTGTTGTCATTTTCTAGGTGAGATCTTTCTAATTTTCTTCCCCGATTTATTCTTTTTGTTTGTCGAGATTTATTGTCTCGAGATATTATTATTGTATGCCTCTAGTTGTTACTAGGGAGAACTTGGTGTACCCATTATTGATTATAGTAGAGATTTTGACTTCGGTCCGTGGTTTTTTACCCCTTGAGAGGGTTTTTCCACGTTAAAATTGTTTGTGTCCTGTGCTTGTTTGGATTATTATTTTTACTTGCTATTCCTATTAGGTTAGGGGATAATTGGTCCATAAATTTAAAGGTTTATCCCAACAAAAGTGGTATCACAGCGAGGTTAAGTTAAAAATTAATTAGGCCTTGTGTTGAACAATAGAAACTAGTACAAGTAGAATGGTGACCTTGAATGATTCAAATTATCAAGTTTGGAAAAGGAAGATGGAAGATGTTTTATATTTGAAAGATTTTTATCTTTCTGTTTTTTCACTCGAGATAAAACTGATTTAGAATGGGAAATATGTCATAGAAAAGTTTGTGGCTTTATTAGACATTAGGTAGAAGAAAATATTCTAAATCATATTGGAGAAGAAATACATGCACGGACTATGTGGAACAAGATTTAGTCGTTATATGCCCTGAAAACTGGCAATAATAAATTGTTTATGATCAAGCAAATGATGACTTTGAAGTATCAAGATGGAACACCCATGTCAGATCACTTGAATACATTCCAAGGTATCATTAACTAGCTTGCTGGAATGAAAATCAAGTTTAAAGATGAGATACAAGGGTTATGACTTCTTGGTACATTGCTAGACTCGTAGGAGACTTTCAGAACTTCGTTATCGAACTTAGCCCCAAATGGAGTAATAAGTATGGACATGGTGAAAAACAGTATTTTAAATGAAGAGATGAGAAGAAAATCACAGGGTTCTTCATTACAGTCATATGTTCTTGTTACTGAAAGAAAGGGGAGGAGTAAGAGTAAAGGTCCGATGGGTAGAGATAGAAGCAAAAGTAAGAGCGGCCGGTTATCCAATGTTGAGTGTTATCATTGTTGCATGAAAGGACATATAAAGAAGTATTGTCGACAACTGAAGAGAGAGAATAAAAATGATAAACGTAAGGAAAAGAAAAATGATGATGGTAATGATGCAGATAAAGTTGCTACAGATACTGAGGATTTCCTTATCTTATTTGATGGTGATGTTATTAATCTAATTATACAGTAGAGCAATTGGGTGATTGATAGTGACGCGTCAATTCATGCTACATCTAGAAGGGATTTCTTTGTATCCTACACATCTGGTGATTTCGGCTGTGTTAGGATGGGTAATGATGGATCAGCAAAAGCCATTGGTATTGGTGATGTGCACTTGGAGACCAAGAATTGTACTACGCTGGTTTTGAAGAATGCAAAACATATCGCTGATATTTGTATGAATTTAATTTTCACAGGTAAGCTTGATGACGAAGGTTTCTGCAATACCTTCTACAATGGCAAATGGAAGCTTACTAGAGGCTCAATGATTGTAGCTAAAGGAGAGACGTGTACCTCACTGTATTTGACGCAAGCAAAGATTATTGATTCTGCAATAAATACAGTGGATGATGAAAAGAGTGTTGAATTATGACATAAGAGACTCAGTCACATTAGTGAGAAGGGATTGATGATTTTGGCCAAAAAGAATCATCTTTCTGGTATAAATAATGCAATTCTGAAAAGATGTGTTTATTGCTTAGTTGGGAAACAAACTAGAGTTTCCTTTAAGGCGTCTCAACACTCGAGGAAGCCAAATATACTTGATTTAGTATATTCTGATGTATGCGGTCCTATAAAGACAAGACTAAAGATCAAGTGTTGCAAGTGTTTAAACAGTTTCATGCCCTTGTTGAAAGAGAAACTGGTAAGAAGTTGAAGTACATCAGGACCGATAATGGAGGCAAGTATTGTGGACCTTGTTGCAAGTGTTTGCTTTCATAGTCACAGTTGCCAAGATTGTTTTGGGTGAAGCATTAAGCACAGTTGTGCATGTTTTGAATCTCACACCATGTGTTCATTTGAATTTTGAAGTCCCGAAAAGAATTTGGTCAGATAAGGAGATATCCTATTGAGAAGACAGATAAAACACCGACCTCGATAATTTTTTTCTAGACTCATCAATAATTTTTTTCTTCTCTCGATCTCGAACCACCGACCTCATGTTTGCTAATTAAAGAGGGAAGATAAAAAGAATGGCTGTGTTCAACACATCACGTAAATATTAATAATTTATTGCCAATTTACACTAGTTAATTAATTAATAACAACAATCACATTCGGTAATTTTTGCCAAATTTAGCAATTTTAGTTCACTAAAAATACCAGGATTATAATTAACTAATAAACATTTCGAAATCAAAAATCAATTTTTAAAATTAATAACGATAGTTAAGAAAAACCACCGCTAATTACTATTCAACTAATAAAATTTAAAGACCAGAAATAAAAGAAAATAATAATAACAAATAAATACATAAAATTTAAAGACTTATACACGATTCATATTTTTCCTACTTATACACAAAGTATTGATCTTCGTCGACACTTTTTTTTGTGTTTAATATCGATATGAGGGGTGAATAGACATTTTCATAGTATTGAAAAAAAATGGAAAAAATAATTTGAAAAATATCAATATAATATGAAATATAATGTTAATATTAATAACTTTTGACTTATCTAAAAAGTATTTAATTTAAATATTTGTTACAAATTCTTTATTTTATAATTAAAAAAATATTCATCGACATCGACGTAATTTTATCAATATTTCTATCAAATATTCATCGACATCGACGTAATTTTATCAATATTTCTATCAATCTTTAACAAAAATTAAGATATTGATATTTCCACTATATTTAAAATATTGCTTCTACTTTATCTCAAAAAAGAGTATCAGTGCCAAAGCGAATATAACTTGCATATATCTTTAACTAAGAAGTTGTGAGTTCGATCTCCATTCTTATACACTCTATTCAACGAAAAACACACACACAAAGAGTATCTCCTTTATTATTGAGAAGGGTGTCCAAGTTTCAAGAGCAACAATATTTTATTATAGTTGTTAATTTACTAAAATACCCCCGGTTCACACTCACCCAAGCTTTCTTTCTCTCTCCTTCAAGAAATAGAATAGGTGATATATCTCAGCTTAATGATGAAGGAAAAGATGTGTAACCATTACCTTATTATTGAAGTTGATGGTTGATGTTTAAGCTTATAGGAAGGCTCCTATGCCAAATAATGGTGTACCACATGGTCCTTCCTTAATCATATAGTGACAATATGATATTAACATTTTATAAGATAATTACTTATATCTAGACTAATAAGTCTTCAATAAAATACCATTCCCGAATACTTTTAGAAAATCAATTTTAGGGCTACTATATTTTGAAAATAATATGAAGTTTATAAGATAAAATAATTGTTTATCAAATAATCTAAATATTATTAGAGGCAATATGAACTTCGAGATAGGTTAGATATTTTCAATATGGAATCGAGCACAAAAAGATATATAAACTATATAATCCTTCCATAAATATTATTGGCTCCTTAGAATTGTACGTGAAACTTAAGACCTCAACTTAATTAGTTCCCTTATATATAAAAATGCAACTCTCACCTTATGTCCTAGTAGTACTAAGACATAATCTCGTCTATTTTTAAAATTTTTTCACATTTATATGATTAGGTATATAGAAATGAGAGATAGAAGCATTGAACCTACACCCAATAACGGAAGCTACTAGATGGTTGACCAATTAAATTATGTTGATCATATCAACTCTCCCTCTATATATTATATATGAGAGTTTAACTGAGTTTAGGAGATCTAAACCTCCACGGGTTATTCCATTAAATTAACAAATTCATCCTTTGAGATAAACAAACTTTCATACATCTTCACTTCTTACTTATTAAATTATATGTGAATCTGAACCTAGTTTAACTCGTTAGGACATTAATAACACATTTATTGATGTTGAAATCTGGCTTGCTGATGTGTCCTACATGTAGCCATTGGATGAGGTTACTTGCAATAATAGACCTCGACATCGGTGATGTTTCCAATAGTTTCACATTTTTCTGCTCGATTTTTGTAGTGCTTCTCTATTAATATTCATGGGGTTCCATCTCAAAACCAATTGGCAATGAGAGGAGTAGCCCATATATATTATAAACCATTGTTAGGTCCCTTTTCTTTTCAATGTGGGATCCTTAACATTCTCCAGTTCCACACCATGATTACCCGTCACGAAGCTCGTGTTCGGTACAAGGGGGTTGCAGCATCTTCCACCACTGTTGGCATTTTGCTTGGGCACTTACGTTGTGCTTACAAAATCAACCCACCCTCTCTCACTCATGACTCCTTTCTTTGTGGTTTTGTACTTTGCACTTCCTGTGGCTGACCATGGGGTTGATGGCATTCCGTGCCTTGGGTCTCAAGAATTCGTATGTGGCATTGTAATTCGACATGTCAAATGCTAAGTAATTAATGTCCAACATATGCTACTTCGTCATTGAATGATACTCTCATCAAAATTCGTCATGGGTTCTCTTAGGATGATATCTCTTTACACGAGCTTGTTTAACTCTGACATCTGTGTTACGTCTCAAAAGCAATTGAGAATGAGAGGGAGTGGTCCATATAACGATATGGAGTGAGTGTGCTCTCTAAGTATCAACTTTTACCGACTTAATATTGAAATTAACAGATGGACTAAAATCAACAAATTCTGGTGTTGGTG